AAAATGATCTGGCAGATTGAAGTTTTGAGAAGCCTTGGAGAAAGTGACATTTTTATCTTAAATTCTTTCATCCCTGTAAAAACAGTCAGACAATAATGCAAAATACTTTAACCTATATTTAGTAAATTTCCGAATAAAAGTCAATATTTTTCCTTGACCAATGACTTTGAAGGAACACAGTTCAAGTAAAGAACTCTTAACATATAATTTCAATGGTAAATTATATAATATTTCAGTAAAGCAAAAAGGAAAAAAACCATAAAGCAACTAGGATATTTCCTAGACAGTTCTTGATTTAGAGAATGCAATTATGAAAAAAATTAGAAGGTATAAAGAAGGCCAAAATCCAAGGTGAATCAAGGATGGTGGGAAATTGCCTATATAGCCAAAGAAGGCTTTCTCTGTCACTGAAAGAAGAAAATTGGGAAAGGAAAAGATCTGTCCCTAGTGACTGAAGGTTCCCATAGTTAAATATCTTCTCAGCAGCTTTTTTTCCATTTACTGTGGTGAAAAGAATTACCTTTACTCTCCCTATAAGGAAACAAACTACATTTATTTAAAAAGATGAGCATATAAACTGAGCACCAGAAAATTAAGAGAGTACTTAATTGCTTTAAAAAAGTGTACAGCCATTCACCAGGATGACTTCTATATCTTATTACTAAAGTGGATGAACAGTATTGATCTGAAATGGTGAGTGAGAGACAGGCTGAGCCATGGCACACAGACACATAAAATTCATATCTTGAAAAGAAAGTAGTTTCTATAACTTGCTATTGACATTGATGCAACTCTAAAGCTCATGATTTTTTAAATAATGTTTGAGCTTATAAAAAAGGAAGCAATGATTATCAAGATCCAATGATGCACAGTCACAATAAATTCCTGATTAGACAATTATACCTGCCTCTGTGTGGGCTGATCAGAACAGATTTCAACACTCCTCTTTTAAGAAATAATTTTTCAAATAATTAATCACATAATTGATAAGGATATTGAGTATTTAAATAAAGCTATCCACCAATACAACTTTAGTGATATTTATACACATTTGACCCAAAAAAGGCAGAATACACATTCTTTAACACACACAGATAACACATAGGACCATAAAAAGCAAAATTTAAAAGTCACAATAATAACAAAGGACTTCAGTCTTATACAGTATGTTCTATGACCAAAATGTAATTAGGTAGGAACCAATAACAATAAGGTTGATAGAAGATACCTAAAGCTGCACAATACAAGATAAACATACAACATTGATTTTATTGCTTTATGTTTGCATTTAAAATTGAAAATTAAATTTAAAATTTGCCATTTGTGATAGCATCAAATAGCATAAACTATTTCCTAAACAAGCACCTCTGAAAAGAATATATTAATTTAGAGTTGCAAAAATTATTTGCAACCACTAGAGGTCAGACATTTAAATCTGCAATTTGATTCTCAAATTCCCCAAATCATGCAATTTACAATTCTGTCTCCCAATTTTCAAAATCTTTTTTAAATTTTCTTTCATTATTACAATTACTCTTCCTTTCAAAGAATCTTGCCTCAGTGGATAGCTTTTGTTTGTTTGTTTTTACACTGTATTTAATTCAAACTTTAATATTCCAAAGAGAATAGTAATCCAGGAATAGAGAAAGTAGGAGCACCATCAGCAGGGTGATTTTCTGATAACTTTGTAAAAATAAAGTAAAAATAATAAGATGTGTCGCAGTTGGCAGATTTCAGTGTACTTGTACATTCTATTTGGTTATCCACCATGAAAGATGGGGGAAAGATGTGGACAAATCTGCCACAGGGTAAAAATATGTCCTGATAAATGTTAAAATGCAATAGAAAAAACTGACAAGATCCACTTCAAAACTGAAGTTCCAAAATAATGTCTAGTGCTGAGGAATGATTAATTTACAACCTTAATGGTTCTATATAGCTTGGCTATGGATGTCAGTTTTATATTTTACCAGCACTACCATCAACTCTCATCCAAAATAAACATTTCAACCATATTTTACTTTGTGTAAGAATTCCAGGGAATAATAACGTATATTTAAGCTACTATAAATAGTTTATTGTTGTTAGTGTTTTCACCAATCTCTACACACTTAGCTTATCTTACTTGAAGTGAAAATGATTTACTAAAGTCAAAAATATACAACTCTCTACATGTATTTCTATGGAACTTAAAAACAGAATGTTAATGATCTTCTTTCTCATTTAAAATGTCAAAGTTACTACTCCAGGCCTTTTCTTTCAGTAAGAACCACTAGAATATTCTCTATGTCCACTTAAAGAGTTTTCTCTCCACCCTGAACTTTGTTTTCTGAGGTCATCTTCTTTTTTGATGTACATTGTCTAGGAGGAAGCTAAACATCTAATCCTCTGTGAGGTCATAGATACAAATAAGGCCTGAGGTCCTGTAAATGATCTAATTCCACTTTTTCTACAAGCCCTGTGTCTCTGAGAGGAGGAATGAAAATACAATGTTGCACATTTGTTCTCCTAAAAAGAAGAGCAAGTCCTTCCCACCCACAGTATTATCACAATACCCCAAGATTGGTTTGCCTATAAGATAATAGTAGTGAATAAAACCTTTAATCAGGGCAATACATCTTGGAGAAAAAGTAACATTTTTTGAGTAAGCTTAAGTGAAGAAATAGAACCCTCCTGATATAAAAACAAGAAAGAGGAATCTTGACTGGGGATGCCTCATCTCTGATTTGGAAATTCATCACTGAAGATCTGCATCTGGAATAGTAGGGAAACATAGTTTATTTAGAAAAGAATACATTCAAAAATTATTTTTAGGACAACAGACATATTATGACTGATAAGTGAAAAATAACTCAACATTGGCGGTCTCTTTTCTTATAATGAAGCATTAAAAAAATTCTCCAATGCTGAAAGAAAGCATATAGACCATGTACCACACCTCTAAAAATGGATGGAGAGATTTCTGAGGATAGTGTTGGACATGAACAGATCAGTTAAAAGAAAACATCAGCAAAGAGGTAGAGGTCTAAGCATGGGCCTGAGAGTATTCCTATTTCAAAGGGAAAGAGTTTGGGGAAAATGATAAATTGATGATTGCAAATTATAGAATAATTCTATTTTCAGCAGACCAAATGTGCCAGATGGGACTTTGAAATTATAGTACTATACGAGAGAGATGGATAACTACAGATTTCCTTAATTGCAGCAATTATCCATCCCTTCATCTTTCAGTCTGATCTGAAGAAATATTAGAAGTTATTTGTGGACGGGAGACAGATGATGACGAGGGTCTTAATCGTCTCTGAAACAAAGTTATCTAGATCCAAGAAAAAGAGAAGATGAAAGGCATAATGTCAACAGTATCCAGAGTGAGAGAGGTGAGAAGCGGCATGTATAAATGTGAGAGGAAACCAACGCCTGAAATAAGGCTGTGGAAGTGATTATGTCCAATTGTGAATTAGAAGTTTTTAAAAAAATCAGTTATAGTTTCTTATTCATGTGTCACTACTCCATGACAATGTAGGAAGAAAAAAAAAAAAAAAAAAAATATATATATATATATATATATATATATATATATATATATATATATATATATATCAGGTTAAAAAGTGAAGCAGTTCATTTTTTGGCCACATACATGCTTAAACAGGAATTGTCTTTTCAACTGTTATTCAGATTCGACATTACTTACTGTGGGCAATCTGCATCAGCATTAAAAGATTTCATGTAAGAGCCGGGTCCATGGGGCATGCCTGTAATCGCAGCGACTCAGGAGAGTGAGGCTGAAGAACTGCAGGTCAAAGGTTGGTCTAGGCATCCTAGTAGGGATCTTGACTTTAAAAGAAAGATGTGGGGCTGGGGGTAGGGGGCGAGCTGGGGGGAGAGGGAGCTGGGGGGAGGGAGCTGGGGGAGGAGGGAGCTTGGGGTATAGCTCAGTGGTAGAGTGCCCCCAGATTCAATTCTCAGGACCAGAAACAGAGAGAGAGAGAGAGAGAGAGAGAGAGAGAGAGAGAGAGAGAGAGAGATCATAAAAAAGAATGCTATTAATGTTCAGCATTATCAAATTAGTAAAATATTTAAAATTTTTGCAATTCCAAATTATGATTTTAATCAAGATGTAATAGGTGCTGTGCTTCAAGAAACATTGTAAACTGTGCTTTCTCCACTAGATGTCCCCAGAGAAATGCAAGTAAATATGGCTAATAGAAAATACTGCTAATAAGCTCCAGGTTTTAAAATTGCAAAAGTACCTCACTCAGGGTCAAGTAGCTCTAACAATTTATTATTTAATATGGCAGTCTGTCACTTCATAGGCTTTTAAATGAAATGAGAGTCTAAAGATACACAGAGAGGATGGCATACCCAAAATGCTCTCCTGCTTCTAAATGAATTAACGTTCAAGAAACATCACTTAATGTTTATATTGGGATAAAGTTAATCATCTCTTTCTCTAATTAATATGATTTCACTACCTTAGATATATTAGGCTTGGAAGATTAATGAGAGTAGACAGAGGAAATCCATTGCAAATATCATACTGGAAAATGGCCTGGGACATCTCACTTCTTGATCTTACAAGGCGTCAGCACAAATATCCAAACTTACACATTGCCTTTTGACCTCTTTAATTTGGTCATTCATGTTCAATTTTATTTTAGTTGTGTGCATATTAAAAAATGAAATAAAATTTACTTAATTTGAATTCTGTTCAACTTTTGAATTCCTTCAACCTAAAACGTTTTGTTGTTGTTGTTGTTGGAATGGCCTTTATTTTACTGTCACAAGGGACATCAGGCTAAAACTTTTAAGAAAATATTTTCCTTCCTTCACAGAAGAACAAATATCATTGGATCTTTTCCAGAATTTTAGTTTACAGCTTCTAACCCAGGTACTGGGGAAGATTGGGACCCTCAATGTCCAAGGAGCTTGAAAATAAGAATGCTCCCCACAAGAAGGTGTAGCAACAACATCAAGGCTTTATTGTATTTTATAAGCAAATTCTATTATGTGTAACTTACACATTAGGCAATTAGAATGAAAGTGATACTCAAGACATGCTGTCAAGATCCCATAGATCTTATTAAGAAGCAGGGGTTCTTAAGAATATGGTGCAAATAACTACTCTGGATCATTCAAAACCAAAGAAGTACTGGTTTAAAAACATTCTGCTCTTGGTTTTTGAGTTTACAGGTTGGTTGAATCCATTGTTCACGTCTAATCCTAGACAGTTCTGGGCAAGTTTAAGGTTGGTTATGTGCTGGGAACAGTAAGCACAATGTTACAATGACTTTATAGGCTCCAGAGGCCACAAGATATGTTTCAAAATTCCAGTAGATAATTGGCCAATTGCCAGGAAATTAGCATCCTGGTATCCAGAGACAAATGGCTCTGTCTTTCAGACACATTATTATTCTTCAGTTACATAATAAGTCATTTCTTTTTTGTTAATGCCTTATATTTCTGGGTCAGACTATGCAACCCTGGAAAGTCAGACTTAATTGTCATTATTTCAATCTTCCTCCCAACTGCTAGGAAAAATTGTGTGGCCAATCCAGGGTCAGGATCCTTTCATGAAGCAGAAGAGAAAGAGTCCTGTGTAGAGAGAAACAAAGACAGAAAGAGACAGTTGAGTTGTGATGGGTACTTTGAAAGGGCAGAATTGTGTCCTTCCCTAGATTTTTCAATGTCTTTGCTGAAACTTGGACTGTCTTCTCTTCCCATTTCCTGAAACTGTTTCCATCCCTCACCCTCCTCAAACTGTCAGCTGTGGATTAGGATTTAATCATTAGCTTTGGACTTTCCTTGCTATTTGGCATATAATAGCTCACTTCTGGATTGGCCTCGGCTTTTTAAGTTTAGTACTATAATAAATTCATATTTACCTTAAAATTCTCCTTCTCTTGGATCTTTCTTCAGCCCTAAATTGCTCTAAATTTGTGAGTGTATGTGCGCAATCTGGCTCTCATTTTCAAGTCCTCTTTGAAGTCATTACTAATCCTAACTGTAAATATTTGAGTCCTAGCATTTGTTGACTTCCATGAGACTTTTACAAGTTCCGAACAAAATGCTCAGAATGGATAGATTGAAGATCTTTATTGTTTGAAACTCTGAAAAGAAAAATTGAAAAGCCTCTTTTTGTTGGATGAGCACGTCATGCTTTTTACACAAAAAAATGTAAACCTGTCAGAAAAGAACAGTAATCTTTTACATAGCTATATTATCAAGAATTTCACAATAGTTGACTTACTGATAGTCAGTAGAAATTATTTTCGTAAAACAGTTCTTCTGTCCTACTCAATAATCAGTTACTGGCCACCTATCATTTGTACAACATAAGAATAATGGAAAACTATTCTATGAAGCAAACCAGAGAATTACAGATAAAGTTTGAATAACTCCATTCAAAGAAATATAAATGATAGATTAATATTATTTTTTCTACAATAGGCTAGGGAAAGAATATAATGTAACTTCTACTCTTACGTCTCTCCAGTTGCCCTTGTGAAGTGCTCCTTCACTTTCTATACTTTTATAACATGATTTTCAAATTGAAAAAGAGACCTCTGAAATATATTTCAGAATTTGGTTCATGCATGCTTTCATTAATAAACTTGCAGCATATTGCAGTACTACTTTAATCCTCAAAGGCAAAATCTCATAGAAAGCTTAACTCTTCTGCTATTTGGAAACCTTTCTGGCCCACTCCAGCCTCCCTAAAAACTTTTCTAAGTTTTGGACAATAACAAGAGTCCAGGCAAAATTTCTCTATCTCGCATGTGTGAGTGTGTGTGTGTGTGTGTGTGAGAGAGAGAGAGAGAGAGAGAGAGAGAGAGAGAGGTGGGGAGTCAATCAATGTGCTATTATAGAGGGAGCATTTACTAACAAAATGTATAGAAATTATTCTTTTATTCTAGGATGTATGTATCTTGTTTGAAATGGTCATTTTCAGCCTAATGTTGACCTTTGATATTCATATCTCCTTTATCCAGAGCAATCTGAAGATTTGCCATATCATGTGTGCAGCCATAAAAATGCACGTTACCTTGGCTGAGAATCACATAGTGTAATGTTAAGAGACTTTAGTGACTCTTGTTAAAATCAGAGGAAAAATAATCTTGGCAGTGGCCCTATTTCGTAATACGTATTTAATTATTCCATTACTTTTGGATTAGTAATACTTGTTTCCAAGAGGGGAAGCTTTTGTCCAGTAATTATCAGAAGATGTGCTGCCTGGAGATCTTCAACATCATGTGAGGCATATAATGAAAAAGCCATACAGTGCAAATGTTTCTCCACCCTTTCTGTTCATTTCAAAAAGTTTAGGGAAACTTGCCGAAAGTAGATTTATGTTAATTCTATATATTCTTTGATATTTGAAAAAAAGAAAGGAAATGGGAATCACCTCCCTTGGTTAGTAAGACTGCAAAGAAAATGTGACTTCTCCCCACATGCTTTGTCAGCAAGTTAGAATTCTGATTTCATATTTTATGTAAGTCATAAATCTATCCAGAATTTGTTTTTAATTCCACGCCCATTACCCCTTGGCAATGATCAAAATTACTATCGTTTTTCTGGTGAAAACTAATAACCTTACAGTTCTGATGTGGACTAAAGGTGACAACTGTGATAAGATCAAATAATCACTTCATTGAGTACATGGACATATGCTCTGAATGGGATAGATGGCAGAGTAGTCCTTAAAACGACAGACAAAATCATTTTCAATAAAAATCCCTCTAAAGTACAAAAGAACAAAACTGAAATATGAACATTCAATGAGTCAGTTCTTCATGTAATTAAAGTAAATATCTTCCTTATTATGAGAAGATAAAGGAGTTCACTGTACTCAGTAAATATAACTAACCCAAACAGATTATTTTTGCTGGCAACTTGAAGTTGCTGATGCTTCTTGGAGAGAGTTCAGATTCTCAGGTTGATACACTGCTCCCTCCCACAACCCTGACATGTATATAAACTCTGAGCTCTCCAAAGCCCACTGCCAGTTCTCTTCGTGGACTAACTGCAATGGAGAGACTAAAAATGATTCTTTCCTTACCCATATTTTCTCTCTTCCTGCTCTTTGTTGTTAACCCTGCAGACACCAACGGTTATTATGACAAAGTTTTGGCTCACAGCCGAATCAGGGGCCGGGATCAGGGGTAAGTCAGTGGTTTGGTTTTATGAACTTTTTTTTTTTCCTTTAGCTTGTTATATGTGCAAGTATACATAAAATGTGCATATATGTATAAACTTTGGGGTGTTTTCTTTCTATTTATAAAGTGATAAGAAAAGGGAAATTTGAGTATTCTGTGATTTATGTATGCATTCTAAACTTTTAAAAGAATTACTGTCAAAATAAGAGTGTAATTACTTCTTAAGAGACATTATGTAATTTGAGTCTAATGAACAAAGTTTAACAGGACATTCCTTTAGTATTTCATTTGTGTTTTTATTTCCTTTCAAAGTTAAAGTCTCTATTTGTAGAGGCTACCATTATGTGAAGAGCTTTGAAATATCGCATGCGATGTTAGAGCAAATTTCATTTAAATTATGTATGAAAATTAAGTACTGAGTAATGTAACTAGTTCTCTGAACTCCTTGAAGTATTTTTTATTTGATAGGATGGAAGCAACTATAAAATAGCATTTTAAAACTTATTAACTTGTTAAACATAATAGTAGACATAATTTAGTAACTTAACTGTTTATCTTTTTTTTTTCTTATTTTAATGTGGATCTTGGTCCTGCTTCCTGTGCATCACAGGGACTTTTTTTTTCATAATGTTCCAAACTTCCTAGCCTTATAGTGGAAATAAAAATTACATTTCTATTAGAGGTTAAAAAGTAAAATAAAATTGTGGCTGAGAAGATTTAAATCTATTACTTCCACACAAAATAAATACATTTTCCTTTACTCAACCACATTGTTTAAAAGTTATTTTTAGTACTAATTTACTTCTGTAATTACCTAGAAAATTACAGAGTAAAATGTCTTTGTACAAAGGAAAACTTTGCCCCTTTTATTCTCTGATCTCTCATTGTCCCAGAGAGTCTTAAACATACCCTCATCCCCCAAATCAACACTTTGGGTCTAAAGCTGTCAGTGGATTATCCGTTGTTGAAAATAATAAGACACATAATAACAGAATTATGTTACGCTTAATTCTGTTTGAGTATTCCTATTAGGTTGACTTTTTTTAAATAGTGGTGTTTTACTCTGAGACTCTGAAATGTCTCTCTCTCCCTCTCTCTCTCTCTTCCCCCGCCCCCCTACTGGCTTCAGTTTTTCCAGTGATTTGGCAGAACTGGATCAGGAGTTGGACTGGGACAAGGCTTAAGTCATATCTTTGACTATCAAATCCATGTCTTGACCTTTTTTTTTTTTTTAAACCATCTGACCTACATGTAACTATGAAATACCATTAAACTCTTTTTCCTTTTCTCTATCTTCTAGCCCAAATGTCTGCGCCCTTCAACAGATTTTAGGCACTAAAAAGAAATACTTCAGCTCTTGTAAGAACTGGTATCAAGGTGCCATCTGTGGAAAGAAAACGTGAGTCTCTTCTTTTTCATCATTTGCTCCTTTCAAAGACAACATGGCAGTGAACATACCTTCTCTTGGGTATGCACACCATTCTTGAAAATAACTATCCAAATTTTGAGTTTTTTAAAGACATGGCAAGATATATATATATAAAGAAACTTTTTCTGCATCTCCACCATTACACATGGAACTAGATTTCTCCCTGAATTCACGAGTCCTAGAGGCCAAGAGGAGGAGAAAAGCACAGCAATGTCATTTGTTATAGAAATCAGCATGAGAAACTAACCATTGTTTCTACTCCTTTTTAATTCTCTTTGTTATTTTGACCTCTTTTATCTTAGGCAAGTAAGTTAGTCTCCATGCCTCAGTTTCCATATCTTATCAAAGTAAGTAGATCATAGCCAGGTGTGACAGTGCATACTTGTAATCCCTCAGGAGGCTGAGGCAGGAGAATACCATCTCAAGGTCAGTCTCTGCAACCAGGAGAGACCTTGTCTCAAAATAAAAAATGAAAAAAAAAAGATTAGAACCATTTGGTATGTATCTCAGTGGTAGAGCACCCCTGGGTTCAATCCCCATTACTGTAAAATAAATCAATAAATAAAATACAAGAACAAAGTGATTGAAATCATAAAGAGTTTTGAAGTAAAAATTAATGTATGCCTCCAGTTATTTATAAATTATCTAAAGAACTCCAGTTTACCTGAGTTTTCATGAAGGCTTAAAGTTGGAAAGGACTTAATGTCTCATTTCTTCATTTAATCTATGGATTCCTAGCTCAAGCTGCCAGATCCTCAAGGTCTACAAAGCTGTGAGGGAAGTGCATTACTACATTTAATCCTTCAACAGTAAAAGATTACTCTCTTATGTAGATATTTCACTGATTAAGTTAATTTAAAAAACATTATTTATTGCTTAGTAGACATGCTTCTTGGTTTATTATATCATAAATAGTGATAAGAAGAAAATTCTTGATGTATAAAGTTTAAGAACTACTTGTGTGGTCCCAAGTCATCATTTTACAATTAAGAAGCAGGTTAATGGGTAGG